ACCGCATCGGTGACCATCTGTCTTCACATCGGTTAGTCTTCGATTTTGCCAATGGCTTAAAGTATGTACCAAGACACCAACTTACAAAGAACCAATAACTACTAAGTGTTGCTAAGGTAGAGGAACAGATCAGTGGGTCATCACCAAATCAATAGGTGACCCAACAATATATATATATGTGGGGGGGGGAGGAGAGTTCAAACGATAACACCTTCATTTTACAAGAACGCGAGAACACTCTCTTACTATAGACAATCACATGTGATACTATTATTCCATCACATATAATACACATGTGATACTAAATTAGAAACACAAGGCGATTTTCAATGAGATATTGGTTGCGGGCCAAGTCACCCTAACACCACTAAGCCCCTCACATGTATTATCACATGTGATAAGGGTGTTGTTGATATTATACTATAATCCATCAAGACCATCACATGTGATGTTAAATCATAGACGCATACAAACATTTGGCGTGGGCTAAGTCGTAGAACACGTCGTCCGCACATCACAAGTTCTCCTCACGCGTATTATCACATGTGATAAGATTGTTTTCGCGTTCTCGTAAAATGGAGGTGTTCTCGTTTGAACCTCCACGCACACACATGCGTGCACCCACACACACACATATAAGAAAAAAGTTGATTCAATTAAAAAGACTTGGTCTAGAAATAATCCAATTCAAACGGCTATCTTTATGATACATACGAATTACAGTTTTTTCAATTGTAACCTACAAAGTTACACGTAGACAACTTGTCCTTATAAAAGATCGACCATGAAAGACATGTAAAATAATACAGAAAAAGCAGTTATGATCACGTAAACATTGATCGGTGAGCCATCTGTAAACCATTTTTAGCACGACAAGTTGATTCGGATTCATCGACACGTAACGTATAAGTGTACACGTGTATGGAAACCTCTTTAAGTTTTCAACACGTATTATTCAATATTGCATATGTGAAGAGACGCACTGACTAAGGAGTGACTGCTTCCTAGAAAAAATGCGAAAAAATTGAAAAAAAAAACTGATGATAATAAGTATCAGTCCATAGAAAATAGGAAAAATAACAGATAAATAGGCACAGGTAAACATTTTTAAGGTAAAGAAAATACGTATAACCCTCAATTCACAATTGTATACAGTACTCTACTTGTTAGCTTTTTAATTCTTTTTTGTCCCACCCTTAAACCCTTTAAAGGGCCGTTTACCAAACACTTAATCGGTAAGTGCTTACCGATAAAATTTAACACTATTATTTACTTATCGAGTATGATTTTGGTCTACCGAAACGACATCGTATGCAACAATTTACTCGATAAATGTTTACCATTGTAAGAGTCGTTGCCCTCACTTACCGGGTAAGCCTCTTGGCCCTTGTCACGCTTTTACCGAGTAAGATTTTTTGGTTCTTATCATATCAATCCGGTGAGGTAGTGTGACTTTTAGTAAGCGTTTACCCGAGTAAGCGTTTGGTAAACGATCCCTAACTCAGCTATTTTTCGGTTATCGTAGCTATACAATCTTGCGCCCATCATATCATCGTAGTTTCATGTCTCTACTAACTCGCATCAGTTTGGCAAGAAAACATGCACCATTTCATGACTATCCAATCTCTTCCAAAATAAATATTTACAATTAAAAAGATAGTTTCAAAACAACTCAACTATTACATTTTTAATTAACTAAGTAGTGAATTATGCTTCTGGTCATGTCAAAATATTTATAACTGACATAAATTTTTTTTATTAACATTAATATCCAACTTGCTATACGAGCCGTTTAATCCCAAGACGAATAACTGATTTGCATATGAGACCTCCATACACTTTTAACCTTCTGAGCCTAATCTCAAACCAATCAAACACCACCCTTTAGCTGACTAACATCTTTGTACTCCATTAATTACGTATATGGTCCCTGTGGTATTTAATTTAATATATTATACAGATTGAGTTCATGTGATACCAGTCTGTTTTTGCGAAACCTGTGAGATCAACTTTTTATACTTAAACTTCACAGTAAAACATCGTAAAGGTAAGAAAAAAATCGAAACATCCATAGCAAAAGCACTGTAAAAGCAACCTTTACAGTGTTCTACAGTAAAGTTTCTACTATAAAAAAAAACGGTATCACGAAAACAAGTTGATCTCACGTTATCCTAAGTTTAAATAACTGAGTTCAAATATTTTTGTTAATTCTATAAAAAGCTATACAATATATAAAAACCATATCCATCTCCAAATCGAATAATTGGAAAGTAAATAATTATTTTTGGAAGTAAATATCTCATTTTCTTATTTATTTTTATTTTAATTAGTATTTCAAATTACGAAAAAAATATATATATAAAATCCGATCATCGCGGCTGTTTTTCAATAAATAGATACGGCGTCAAAAACGAAAGATCCCAAAACACAAACCCCACCACCGCCCACAAATTTCCGCAACGATTTCCGTCCATTCTGCATAAAGATCAACAATTTTCGGCAAATTCTCGCCCAAATTTCTTCCGTTTTTCCCCTTCGTAGTCAAATTCTCAATTCAACTCTGAATCATTCAAACTTCCAAGACAAAAAAAGCGACAATTCTTGCTACTTCATTCGGTTTTCTTCCAGTATTTTGACATCAATCGGAAAAAATTGAGTTCTTGATTGATGGCGGCGAGTGCAAACCCTTCTGCAAATAACAATGGATCAACCAGCAATGGGAATGACACTAACACCACCACCATTAACAACGGTGGTCGTTCCTCCGTGCCGGAGAATTCGGGGGTGGGTCCTTCTCAGCGTGCTTTGAAGCACAGCGTTGATCTATCGGTGCAATGGAGTTCTGATGAACAGTCACTGCTTGAAGAGCTACTCGTTAAGTATGTTATCTTTCATATATAATGCTCAATTTTGTGTTTTTAGTGTTATAATACATATAATTCTATGCATTTTTGTGGGTATGGTGTGTTTTTCCCCCTTTGTTTGATATGATTATTTACTAGGGTTTATGTTTCTGTTCATACAATCTTGTGGGCATGGTGGTTAATTTGCTGTATTGGATCTTCTAAAGATGTGGTCATTATGGTGATTAATGTAAGAGTAATGACCCAACTGCAAGAATTAGAATTTATTCCCTCAAAGAAGTGTTTTCGGGTCATTTACGGATATGACCGTAGATGGTTTTTAATTAAATTCATGACCACCCGGCCTATCAAAGAAAATATGGCTTTATACTTACGAGAAGGTCATGGATTTAATTTAAGGTTACTAAATATCGCAGTGTGAGGGCCTGTTTCGTTAGTAACTTAATGAGTTTAATGGGACTTGCAGCTTATTTGGTCAACTATATATGACTGTTTGATAGTGGCTTAATGATATATAAAGTGTCTTATTCAGTAAGCTTTTAGGAGGAGCTTATGCAGATAGCCAAGTTTTTTTTTCTTTTCCAAGTCTGTCATTTGGAATTAGAAAACATGCTCTTTCCATCTATTCAGACAGATTAATCCACACAGACAGTTTTATCCATACATAACAAAGAAAAACCAACGAAATAGCAACATATGAGTTCTCGTTCTTTTGGTTTTCTTTTGTCATTGTTAATGTTTTATGATCCTCCATAGTGCATCAATCGTGTTTATTAGAATAATAAGCGATATCCTCTCAATTCTTCTGCAGATATGCCTCAGATAATCGAGTAATGCGTTATGCAAAGATTGCAGGAAAATTGCAAGACAAGACAGCCCGGGATGTGGCACTTCGTTGTAAATGGATGACTGTATGATCTCTATTCCTCTTGGCTTTGTTCTACTTTTATCTCGTTTATTACTACCTCCGTTCCAAAATATGTCCACAATGAAAAAGGCACATGGTTTTGTAAGTACGTAATTATTACACTTTTTTAAGTAAGTAAATGACAGGCTTACTCTTAATAATAGAGGGAGTAATGAATTTCTGAATCTTATAGTTAAGGGTAGAATTAATAGATTCATATGTATTCGGTTCATAGTGTGAAACTTTTAAATGTGTATTTTTTGTTCACACACACGCCAAAAAGGTCTACATTTTGAACCGAGTACATGTGAAACAAATGTATGTTAACTACTAAATTAAATTCTAGTCATAGATGAAAAACTCATATGAAATAGTACATGATGCACTGATTCTCAGAGATCTCATGATTTAGAGAGTTCTCACAAGAAGCTCTCCTAATACATATTCACATACATATATATATATATACATATATACATATATACATATATATATATATATATATATTCAAGTACTGATATCATAAAACGTTGTTCCAGACTTGAAAGTATATCTTCTTAAGAAAATTGAACGACAGAAGAGTTCTTTAAAATACGTGCCCAATATTGAACGTGATTGCAGAATGAAGCTTTATACATAATTATAAGTCTTTAATTCCCGACCCTATTGGCTCTGATTTGTGTCATGGATTGCTTTTGTAGAAAAAGGAAATTGGCAAGCGACGAAAAGACGATAATTTATCAAGGAAGCATAAAGACAAAAAGGTATCCTTTTCCTCTTCACAACATTTCGTTCACCTCTTTTTATTAACGACATTTGATTTTATGTTCTTCATGCTCCAACTATTCGTTTTTCCTTTTCAAATTACATATTAAAGAAAGATGCAAAATCAACACACTCGGTTGTCTTGTTTTGATGTATAATAACATTAACGAAACCGAAGGGCCTTTGACTTAGCAGGTTAGAGGTCCAAATGTAACCAAAGATGAGAAAGGGTGTGTAGGTTCATTTGTGACATTTGCCAGATATAAATATTATATACTTCAAAATTGAATTAAAGAAAGAGTAAATTACTATTTTTGTTCTTGTGGTTTGTTAATAATTTTGATTTTCTTCTTTGTGGTTTAGAAATTGCAATTTTCGTCCCCAAGGTTTGCAATTTATTGCTATTTTTGTCCCTGGACTAATTCTTACCTTTAAAGTACAGGGGACTAAAACAATAAAGAATTGTAAAGCACAGAGACCGAGACAACAATAAATTGTAAATTTTAAGGATGAAAATAACAATGAATTATAAACCATATGGATGACCCTGGACTAATTCTTACCTTTAAAGTACAGGGGACCAAAACAATAAAGAATTGTAAAGCACAGGGACCGAGACAACAATAAATTGTAAATTTTAAGGATGAAAATAACAATGAATTACAAACCATATGGATGAAAACCGCAATTTCTAAACCATAAGGACGAAAATTGCAACTTTTAACAAGGATGGAAATTTCTAAACCATAAGATTCTTTTAACATGAATGGATGGAGTGCGACATAGAAAACGAGAAAAAGTTAACATGAGATGATTGGAAGTCTAATAATTCGTAACTATGAGGGTAAGGCTGGCTCAACTGGCAAATAAAGGTTAGGCCTTGGGGCTTACAGTTAGAGTCATCTTAGGGCCATTGGAGATTTTTCTGACCGTTGTTTACAGGACCCACGTTTACCCAAAAAAAGGTCTAATTATTGGCGTTCGTTTTGTTTTTCTACTTTTAGGAAAAACTTGCGGATCAACTGGCGAAGCCATCTTCTCATGCTACGAATCGTGCCAATGGTCTTCCATATGCTCAATCATCGGTCTCCATGGACAGTGATGATGGCATCTCTTACAAAGGTTGGTGCCTAATTTATCCTGAAATTAGTGTTCACTTTTAAAATAAAATGCCAACTTTCCAATTTTACCCCTAATGATGAGATGGAGAAATTCATTACTTCCCCTCTTTTGTTAAGGGTAAAATCGTCATTTGGTTCATTAAAATTTAAAAGTATAATATCTACACGTTCCTAAAACTGTGTATCTTTTTCATTTTGGATATTTATTTTGGGACGGAGGGAGTAGATTATTTTTGTTGTATTCCATCGTTTTTGTGAATATATAAACATGGGTATTTCTCGAAATACGAGATTTCTTCTTGGTGCATTTTCTCTGTTGATTTTCGTCTAGTAAACGAGCTTTTTTTTCACTAAAGAAGTCTATCGATTGTTGCAGCTATTGGTGGTGTTTCTGGGCAGCTTCTTGAGCAGAATGCGCAGGCCTTGGATCAAATCTCCGCAAATTTTTCTGCTTTGAAGGTACATATGCATCTCTTGAACTAGAATCAAAGGTTCGAACCTCTGTGTAAGATATACCGAGTTCGTTTGGTTTCTTTACTGATGGACCAACCTCTGTGTGGGTTATAATGAGTTCGTTTGGTTTCTTTATTGATGGACCTCATGAATGGATTAAATGTCGACAACTCGACATACAGCTTATATGGTGTTTTTCTCTTGTTGCAGTTACACGAGAACATCGATCTTTTTTGCCAAACAAGAAATAACATTATCGCAGTCTTGAACGAGTAAGTCATGAGCTCTATATTTGGTGCTTCAACCTTTTTGTTATCAAAATAAGTATCCACGTTTCTATTCTAGTTCGTACTAAAATAAGTGTATACTTTCCAATTCTACCATTCGTCAATCGTCATGTGATGTTCTTCAACATCGGGTATGCATTTTATTTCTCTTACCATCCCAAAATAAATGTCCACCGTCAAAAGTAAGCGTGTATTTTCCGATTATACCCTTAACGATAAAATGGAGAAATTCATTACTTTGTCTATTAGTATATGTAAAATTGTCATTTAGTTAACAGTAAATTATGTTTTTTGTCCTTGTGGTTTGTTGAAAATTGCAATTTTCATCCGAATGCTCTAGAAATTACGGTTTTCATCCCTATGATTTGTAATTCATTGCTATTTTCATTCTTATGATTTATAATATATTTTTGTTTTGATCCTTGTGGTTAACAATTCTTTACTTTTTGGCCCCTTGTACTTTGAAAGTGTAAATTAGTCCAGGGATGAAAATAGCAATAAATTGCAAACTATAAGGATGAAAATTGCAATTTCTAAATCACAGGGACAAACATTACAATTATGAACAAACCATAGGGACAAAAACCATAATTTACTCTTTAGTTGATTAAAAAGTGTCTTAATTATATATTTCTAAAAAATTATATGCTGTTTTCATTGCGGATATTTATTTTGGGACATAGGGAGTATTTTAGTTGACTAATCGACCTACTATTTACTATTGCAGCTTAAACGACATGCCGGGGATAACGAAACCGATGCCACCGCTACCAGTGAAGCTCAACGACGAGCTTGCCAACTCCATACTTCCTCAGTCATCTATGACGATGCGATCTTGAAAATCTTTTCGTATAGAAATAAGAACCCTTTTCATTCCAAATACAACGAACTTTTTTCCGCTTAGATACCAGTCGGGTTCTTTTAATTATGATCTGGAAGCAGATCGTAGTTCCCGTTGATCAATCAAGTCCTGTCGGTTTCATCATGGTGAAGACGATGATAAAGCACCGTTCTTTTTCTAGTTTTTCCATCGTGTTCCTCGGTTTTTTTGGTTAAGATTGATGTTTGTGAATATGTTGTTCTTTTAGTATGTAAATATGATAGGAATGCTTTGATTCAATATTTCATATGGGTACAATAAGGGAAATGTTTAACATGGCCTTTTTTTTTAACTGTAGTGTCTTGGTCAGGTAAATTCGTTTCGATAAATCCCGTCGAGCCTTGTAGATAACGACGTTGAAAAAGGCGTGCTTGGTTTTTTACAAGGTGTGACTCAGGGGCCTTTTACTAAACGTTTACTTGGTAAGTGTTTACCGGATAAATTTTTGTATCGGATGGATATGACAAGGGCAAAAATCTTACCGAGTAAGAACAATGAGAAGGATGGAGAGTCTTACCCAGGTAAGCGCTTACTCGGTAAATTGTTGCATTCGATGCGTTTTGATATACTAAAATCTCACGCATCAAAATAAATTATAGTGTTGACTCCTTATCAGTAAGCACTTATTGGGTAAGCATTTGGTTAAATAGTAATATCCCCTTTGAAAAAAGAATTATTTTTTAGTTTTCTTAATTTTTTGTTTTTACCATTAGATTTTACACTTTATAGTGGAAAAAAAAGAGACTAAAATAGCCTCGACTTAATAAATTCATCATTCCTTTGCATAATGGAAGGAATTGAACTCCATCACCACCCACCAAGACCATGCTACTATTGTTCGTCATGCACCACCCCTAACCTCCCATCATCATCATACCACCACTGTCGCTGCCACCCACCCTACTTCACCACTAACCATCATGCCACTACTGATGTCATCACACTCACTCACCCTGCGAGTCACTTACTGCACATCCCTACTACGACCATGTTACTACCGTTACTATCACGCCTCTAACCTAACCCCCACCACTACACAATTATTGTCGTCGTTACAACTGCCACCTACCCTAGCCTACCACTAACCACCATGCCACTACTGTCACGTCATACCCACTTACTCCCAGCCATGCAACCACAATCCCACCACTGTTGTTGTGGCAACTACCACTCATCCCCACCCCACTACCTTGCCCCAACCCTACCTGCCCCAACAACCCCCCACTTATGGAGCAGATGTGGGTGGTAGGGCAGGGTTTGGGTAGATATGGGGAGAGATGAGACGGATTATAGTTGTGACGACAGTAGTGACATGGTGATTGGTAGGGTATGGGAGGGGCGATGGGTGAGATAGTCTAAACAAAGACGATTGTTCCAATTCCTACCAACCAAACGCGTGGTCAAATTCCATTCCAACTTCTTCAAAGTCAAATTCCTTTGATAAATTTCAGTTCCATCAAATTCCATTATGTGAACCAAACATCCTTTTATTTTTTTAAATTCTATTTTGAATACTTTATCAATATAATAATAATAATAATTTATATGATATTTCTTTTCCTAATAAGAATATAAATTTTATAATAACATAATCTGATTGAATAATATATAGAAAATACATATGTATGTATATAATTTTATATATGACATATAAATTTGTCGTTTTATATCACATCTTGAAAAACATTGCCTTCTCACCATGGCGTATAAAACTCGAGGCTTGACGACGTTGTCACGTCACATCTCATGTTATTTTGAACCTTAGATAAAAAAAAGTTATCTAAGTTCAATGATTAGATGAGAAACCGAGGACGACATAACAGATCATATAAAAGGATAGTGCTTAAAAGGAGATCCGCTACATTTGTGTCGTGTATTACGAATATTTCACTGAAACAAAGGGTAAATTATATAGGGTAACAATTCGACCACATACGTTGAACGGGTCGAAGTGCTAGGGGCCAAAAGGAAGGCATTTGAGAGGAAGTTATGTGTTGTTTGACAGTTACTAAATGATTTGGTGTAGAATGATTAAGTGGTCAGAATGATTAAGTGACTCTCACGATTGCTTATTTAAAACAACTTATGTTTTTTTTTTTGTAAAAGTGCTTATTAACTTATGTAGTATCAAACCGGAGTTAAATAAAACAGGGTTAAAATTGAAAATTGGTAATAAGTAGATTTTCATAAGTCAGGAATGATTAACTTATCAAAAACAGTTTATTACCGGTTTGGCATCGGTATAAACAGTTTTTTTTCTTATCAAAACATTAAAAAACAGCTTATCATCAATGTCATATTAAAATAAATTAAAAAACAGCTTTTATAAGCAACCCCAAATAACCAATAATAATTGTATTTAAAACACTGCACCTCTCAAGTCTATTCAAAAGTCAAAACACCCATAACTCGATCGGTTGTCTGAAACCGTCGTAGGACAAAGAAAAGTCAACACGCAAATTGACCAAAATATCGTGAATTTCTCGGGATAAAAAATGAAACTCGAATTTAACAAAAAGTAATGGTGACAGGGCCAAGATACACAGACGGAGGGAGGACGAAGTGGAACAAGAAGTAAACGAAAATAAATTCCGCCGTGAGGATCAACGGCCGTCGATTCGACCACCAGCACCACCACCGCCACCGTCTTCACCTTCGATGTCTCCAACGCTAACCCTAAGGATCCTGTATTCGTTTGCCTCCGGTTTCTATATGTTGTGATTCATCAATCGTCAGTAGCTTTATAACACAAATATTATATAATTTCACCGCGAATTACCGTTGCAATTATTTGAGATTCGCATTCCTGGTGCTAGATCTGGTCGATCAAATGGATGAATTTGGTATGTTAGCGAAAGATTTTGGGTTTCGGCCTCAAGGAAAATCTGCTCCGATGAGATCGGGTAGTGGAGATCGCCGAGGACGACCTACAACGTCGTCATCAACATTCGCTGCTGAAGAGAATGATATGTTTAACGGCGTATTTGGTGGTCCTCCTAAATATACCAACAACAACTCGAAATCATCGTCTTCGATGTCTGATTTTGATTACGATTCGATTTTCAAGGACCCAGGATCGGCGAAGAATAATGAATCTCAAACCAAACATACGTCTTCGAATTCGCTGGTTTATGACAAGCCGCTTTATGACGACGACATTTTTGATGGATTGCCAGGGGTAAAGAGCAAACCAGTATCTTCTCCTGCCGCAGCGAGATACGATGATAACGTTTTCGTATCTATGACTACTTCGTCGCCCAAACAGAGTCCACAGAGTGATCAATTTGATGATCTTCTTGGTAATTTAGGACGAACAGAGAAGGCTGAATCGACCAGGCATCATAGTGATAAGAATCCAAGAGGTTTGGACGATTTGATTCCTGGCTTTGGAAGCAGCAGTGCTGCATCAAGTAACAGGTACTATATTTGTTTCAGCAGCGGTTTAGTTGTTCACTTCAATGCTTATGAAAGAAGACATTCATGCATATCAACCTAATAGTTTACTTTAAGCACAGTCACTACTATTGCGATAATTATTTGTCTTTACCTTTGAGATTCTATAATCACTAAAATTTCATTGATATATAGCTAGGTTTCCAATGGACCCGGTCACTAATATCAAATAATATTTGGTATTAGAAACAGATACGTGTAGGATTATATATATCTACTTTAGAAATACAGGTTCATGTGTTTACTCATTGTATTGTTCTCGTGGGTTGCTTTATGTACCCAGGGACAAGCTTAATTTGTTATCCACCAGCAACGGGAAGTTACAAGCATTTCAAGTAAATCTGGTTGACGAAAGTGAAGTAATACCTAGGTTTATATGAACTCCACTGAATTGGAGGAAGTCAAATACCTTTTATCCATGATGTTCGGAACAGCATTATTAGGCATATGTATGATGGAAATAGTTTCGGTCATGGCAACGTCATATTTTTTAAGTTTTAAGTTTTTACATTTATAGCTCTTGCAATAATGTGGGATTGTAAAGAATAAGATAATTAGATGCGCATCTTCTTGACTTGGTGCTCATTGCTTCCTCCAAGCTTTAAGGTATGTTATTTGAGAAAGAGAAGAATGCCAATCCTGGTTCTAAAGCAATAAAGCATATCGATACAGTGAGAATGGTATGGGGTGAAAAGAAAGAACACTACAGACTATATTCTTATGAACACATATAAAAGTTAAAAGGGTTTTAGGTTTTCTCTTGATAGTACACTACCAAGGTAATAATAATATCATGTGATTGGGACCTCAAGTGTTACACACATACACACACACACATGTATAATAAAACTCTGATCTTAGTTAATTTACTCAAGATAACATACATGAAAAGTAAATTTTTTGATCTGTTTATGTGAAAATATGTACAACTTGTTGAAGTGCCTAAAGCATGAGTACTATTAGATGCATTTACCTAGTTGCAAAGGAGAGCTGTGACCGGCAGATAAGCCAGTTAACATTCTCAGGCTGTGTCAATAATTGTCAAAGATTTGCTTGTGCTTGAAACCCGTCACGGCTTACCTTGCATACATCATGTTCTTGAACCTAGCCACTTCATTGAACCGCCTAATGCGACTTAGCTTGAGACCTAAGCAATGACCATGCATGCCTTATATATAATAAATATCAGACCTGTTGCTGCTCTTCACTTTGGAGTCTATTTTAAAACCCTTCTTTAGTGACTGAAGGAATACTATACAAATAATTTACAAACTTCATGGACATGGTTGGAATAATGATACATGAATCATCTTGTGTGTAAAGTTAGCAGAAAAATGGAACTGTGGAACGAAAAATAGATATTTCTCTAAAGTAAAGTGCACTAAAAGGTTATTATTGCCATGATGCTTAACAAGAAGAATATTTTACCTTGGATGATGTTACAATTTTTAGATCATGTTATGTGATCTGATTATGATATATCTGTGCTTGAGTATCCAAAAGTACTGGTTCAAGTTTCTTCTAGTCCTAATGACTCATTGGCTACTGTGATTCTTGACGAATCTCCCTCTATCCCTCCTTGCTAATTCTATCCAAGGAGGAGGAAACACAAGGATATGACCCCTGACAGCATAAAATCTGTTCTAGAAAATGAGAACTCGAATTCTACCTCAATACAGAATCCTTGGGAGCTACTCAGAACCAAATTTCACACCAAGTATACCTAATCCAGAACACTCAGAATCCCCTGATATTCCTATATCTCAATGAAAAGCAAAATGAACCTGTCTTGGCAAACCAATTAATAGCCAATTTGGGTTCGCTGTGGAGATCACTTAGCATATGTAGGGCTGTAAACGAACCGAACGAACACGAACGGAGGCTTGTTCGTG